GCAACTAGATGTCTCTTAATTCATTTTGTAATTAGAAGCCCAAATGCAGTGAGTTTCTGCTGGCTTGCTGATCTTAGCATGAGATTTTATTTTTTTTTTTTTTTTTTGTCTTTTGTCTTTTTTCCGTGTCCAGCAATGGATCGCAACCCTCAGTGTTGCCCCCGCACGGGACCGGGGACCGGCAACGGGATTGCAACCCTCGGTGTTGCGTCCGCACCTCGCTCAGCCAGTGAGCGGCCGGTCTGTACATGGGATACGAACCCTCGGCGGGAGTGCCACCACACTCCCAAGCGGCGCACTGTAGCAGTGCGCCACCGGGCCGGCCCAATATGCTATAATTTTTATCAGTTAGTTATTGAAATTTCTGAGAAGTGCTTATGAGAAAGAGAGTTTGCCAGACAAGTCCCAGGAGGGGTAACTAAAAGTCCAGAAGGCTGCGTGGGTCGGTTTTACACCTCCTCTCTGGACTTCAGTTTGCTTATGTGCGAAACAAGAAGTTTGGTCTCTTGCAGGTGTCAACAGGGTTTTTAGAGATAAACGTGGACTTCAGATGAGAACTTCATGCAGTGAGCACTAGAGGGCAGTAGCTGGCTAGTAAGTACAGCAATGAAAACAGGTAGGAAATGACTGAAACGGGCTTTTCACCTCTTTCCTCCTCACTTCCCCCTTCCTCCTCCTTCCCTCTGCTCTCCTGGTTCCCCCTCCCCCTGCTGGTTTACACTAAGCTCAGAAAGCACATTAAGAGGAAAGCTGGTCTACTGAAAATACTACTTTTCATATATTTTCCAACTTAACAGCTTGACGCAAATCTCCAAGGGGTTTACAGAAGCTTTAAGTAGGTTGAATAAATAAAACCTTGAGTCAATTTAATTTAACAAGTATTTATTGAATATCCACATGTAGACCAGAATCAGATTAGTAACCAAGTGCCTTGGAATTTTAAAATTTCTCCTCCCTCTGTTAATGGATTTGAACAGTGGAAGTAGGGCTTTCTGTGGGTCTTTATAAAAGCTTTCTCCTGGTTCTCTTACAGTTCTCTGTCTGCCTTGCTGCAGTCTCTCTTGTGAAAGAGAAACCTGATGGGGAGACCAGGCAGGAGGCTGGAGGGGTAGTCCAGGTGAGAGGGCCATGGGCCCCAGCAGTGGCTGTGAATTCCAGCAGTGGCAGGGCAGCCTCTGGATTTCAGGAAACTTCCAAGGTAAGAGCAGCTCTCTCAAACAGCTCTACGTACTACCCCATCACAGCAGGAGAGGCTGCCGCAAGGTCAATCAAGGGGGGAAGACACCTGCACTGGCCTTCTTTTAGATGACTTTAAGTGACTGGCCTAGCCAGCCTTTCAGATAAGGGGTAGTGAATGAAGCTCCTTTGGTTTATGGGAAGGGAAGGCAGCAGCCTAGAGCACATGAAGAGTCTAGCAAGGTCCCTGCTCACAAACATCCTCTCTCCATATTTCATGAACAGGATACTTACCTGGGTTACAAAGCTGCTCTTTGAAAAGCTAAGTCTCCTAGGGCTGGCCGGTTACTCAGTTGGTTAGAGCGCAGAGTTGCAACACCAAGGTCAAGGGTGTGGATCCCCATACCAGCCAGCTGCCAGAAAAAGAAAAAAGCTAACAACTCCTGAAGGATGAAGTCTGGGGCCTACTCACTTGGGATGGATGAATTCCACTGTGTTCTTGTTTCTCAATTACCCCTGGCCCGAGGGAGGCGCTCTTGAAACTCTTTGGCTTCCAGACTGTGGTGGGCACCACCAGTTACGCACCCAGCTGCCAGCTGCACTTTTGCCTCATTTGTTACAAGTTAGAAGTGCCAGTTTCTCAGGGCCAGCCTGTGGCTCATTTAGGAGAGTGTGATGCTGGTAACACCAAGGCCACAGGTTTGAATCCCTATATAGGGATGGCCGGTGTATTAGTCAGGGTTCTCCAAAGAGACAGAATCAATAGGATATGTTATAATTACATGAGAGGGATTTATCAGGGGAATTAGCTCATGTGGCTATGAAGAAAAGTCCCATGATAGGACGTCTATAAACTGGATGCGGGTAGCGTGGCTCAGTCCAGGTCCAAAGGCTTCAGAACCAGGGAAGCTGATGGTGTCCTTGGTGTAAGTTCTGGAACCCAAAAGCTGAAGAGTCTCAAGCTCTGATGTCCACAGACAGGAGAGAAGAGTGTATCCCAGCTCCAGCAGATCGAGAGAGAGCTTCACTTCTTTCCTCTGTCTTTTGTTCTCTCCAGACCCCCAGCGGACTGGACGGTTCCCACCCACACTGAGGGCGGGTCTTTCCCACCCAGGCCACTCAGACTCTCATGCTAATCTCTGCTGGAAACACCTCTTGTACTGAGTGTCGTATAACTTCGTAGAATGTATGCTATACGAAGGTATTACGTTTCTCTCCTTCAGGTTGAGATAGTACAGTTTACTTAGCCTATAGAAAGGATGATCTGACGTAATAACTTCGTATAGCATACATTCTACGAAGTTATACGACACTCAGTACAAGACTCAGTTGATTAGACTCTTGTACTGAGTGTCGTATAACTTCGTAGAATGTATGCTATACGAAGGTATTACGTTTCTCTCCTTCAGGTTGAGATAGTACAGTTTACTTAGCCTATAGAAAGGATGATCTGACGTAATAACTTCGTATAGCATACATTCTACGAAGTTATACGACACTCAGTACAAGACTCAGTTGATTAGACTCTTGTACTGAGTGTCGTATAACTTCGTAGAATGTATGCTATACGAAGGTATTACGTTTCTCTCCTTCAGGTTGAGATAGTACAGTTTACTTAGCCTATAGAAAGGATGATCTGACGTAATAACTTCGTATAGCATACATTCTACGAAGTTATACGACACTCAGTACAAGACTCAGTTGATTAGACTCTTGTACTGAGTGTCGTATAACTTCGTAGAATGTATGCTATACGAAGGTATTACGTTTCTCTCCTTCAGGTTGAGATAGTACAGTTTACTTAGCCTATAGAAAGGATGATCTGACGTAATAACTTCGTATAGCATACATTCTACGAAGTTATACGACACTCAGTACAAGACTCAGTTGATTAGACTCTTGTACTGAGTGTCGTATAACTTCGTAGAATGTATGCTATACGAAGGTATTACGTTTCTCTCCTTCAGGTTGAGATAGTACAGTTTACTTAGCCTATAGAAAGGATGATCTGACGTAATAACTTCGTATAGCATACATTCTACGAAGTTATACGACACTCAGTACAAGACTCAGTTGATTAGACTCTTGTACTGAGTGTCGTATAACTTCGTAGAATGTATGCTATACGAAGGTATTACGTTTCTCTCCTTCAGGTTGAGATAGTACAGTTTACTTAGCCTATAGAAAGGATGATCTGACGTAATAACTTCGTATAGCATACATTCTACGAAGTTATACGACACTCAGTACAAGACTCAGTTGATTAGAAGAAAATAATGCATCTATGGGCCGGCCCGTGGCTCATTCAGGAGAGTGTGGTGCTGATGACACCAAGGCCACGGGTTCGGATCCTATATAGGCATGGCCGGTTGGCTCACTAGCTGAGCATGGTGCTGACAACACCAAGTCAAGGAATGGTTGAGATCCCCTTACCGGTCATCTTTTTTTAAAAAAAATTAAAAAATAAATAATAAAAAGAGAAAATAATGCATCTAGTAACACATACACCCAGACATTAGGGAGGGGAGGGTGCAATTTTGAGTTTCAATCTCATTATATATTATATAATTTATGATGGCTGTAGTAAATATTTATTTTTCACCTGTTCTCAATGAGAAACATCCATTTACATTTAAATAATAAAAAATGAGGACATAGGATTTATTAAAGACT